TTTCCGGAGCGGGGGGGGGCGGGGCCGGGGTGAAGAGAAGAGCGCGGGCAAACCCGAGAGCTACCTTCCCTCTCACCTTCTCTCAGGGCTGCTTCATCTTTGTAATTTTCTTTCTTTCTTTCTTTTTTAAAGAGAATTGAAGCCCGCAGCGCACCTATTCTTACTCTCGGTCTCTTCCCTCAGGCTAAAAAGCAGAAAAAACAACCTAGGTTAGTCTCAAGAGCCAGATTAACAAGCACCAAACCTGACTTGGAAAGGGGTGCTCAGTGTCTCTCGATCACCCCCCCCACTCCACTCCGCCGACGAGTTCAAAGGGCAAAGCGGCTGCTAATCGAGGGATGTTAGCCAACTAACCATCAGGCTTCATTCGCACTTCCCCCTCCCGCCCCCAAGTCGAGGCTCATCCAGACGATCACACGGCCCGCAACTGAGCTCCCTCACACCGGAGGGCTTGGTGATAAGAGATCACTAGTACAGTACTCTCAGTGGTTCGCATGTATAAAACAGACCGAGTGGGAGGCCCGAGTTTACCCTTTCCTGGCGTTTTTCGGCCCAGGAATTGTACAACTCGCGATCAGGGTGAAAAGTGTGATTCCAGACCAGAGAACCGCGCGAGATTTTTGGAGCGTTTCCCACGTCTCAGCTTCGGGCCGCGTCCAGGAACAAAGGTGTGCCGTTTCTTTTGCCCGGGATGTTCCCTCTCGCCCACATTTGCTGGGCTGGGCCCGTCATAACGTGCAGGGATCTGGGCAACTGTTTTGACACACACACCCCGAACACGTCTGCAGCCATCTCTTTCGCCCCTCCTAAACCATATGAAGAACGCCACAAGGCAAGGAAGCTGTCGTGCTTGGGAACGGCCTCGGGAAAGGAGAGTTCTTGCTCAGAGTCCTCTCCCTCCGAGGCAGCCGTTTTAGCTTTGCCTGAAAGGTGGGTCTCAACAGACACGGGAACCATCGCTTGGACAGCTTGATTTGCCCTCCTAGGACGTCCGTTTAAGTGGAGTTCTTCCCCTTTCGGCGATACTTGCACCACGACCCTTAGGTGTAAATAGGTGGCAGTAAATCTCACCAGTTTGAGTCAGAGGAGCACATAATCCAGCTACAGGTTTAGGTTTAAACACAATGAGACCAGTTTTATGTGTAAAGGTCCCTGACCCTGTGCTTTTTCCACTGCATCCTCTGGTTCTGAGTAAGATTATTTAGGGTCTTGGTCCTGCATGAAATACTGTAGGGCTGCCTTCCTGAAATACCCTCTTACTCGGCCATAAACACTGCGCATTGTTCCTGGGTGTCAGTCACGTCTTTGGGAGTGGCAGTGACGTCTTTGAAATATGTACCTAGAGTACCAGCCTTTGCGCCTGAAATCAAAGGTACAGGTAGATCTTCCTGATTTTTCGAAGATTTATTTGTATATACAAATGGATCTGTCTGAATAGGATCTCTCTCTCTCTCTCTCTCTCTCTCTCTCTCTCTCTCTCTCTCTCTCTCTCTCTCTCTCTCTCTCTCTCTCTCTCTCTCTCTCTCTCTCTCTCTCTCTCTCTCTCTCTCTCTCTCTCTCTCTCTCTCTCACACACACACACACACACACACAAGCGGGAGCGTGCACGCACCCACTCACCTTTAAAAAGCAGACACCAAACCTTTGTCTTTGTAGATATACTAATTGCCTTTTTTGATTTTTTGCACCAATTGCAAGTGAGCTGCTATGTTGCTACATAAAATTAGTCGACATTAAAACAACACATAAACAACAACGATACGGCTTACATTGGCCGACTCATCTCTCCTTGAAAATAACTCCCTTGCTACAATTGTAATTGTTACGTCTGCCACAATCTGTCCACAGTTTACACAAGATCCGATGCATCTGGATAATCCTCTCTTCTCTAATGCAAACTCTGCCCCGCTATGATTGGGCAGATAGTATTTAACTGGTGCTCGGAGTACAAGAGCGAGATTGTGGCTGGCATGAAGTTATGTAAGCGGTGGCATTATGTGCCAGAGGGGTGCGTAAATCGAGATGTGAGCACGTGGATGATGAAAGAATAAGACGACGTGTTTTACATTCAAACCCTAAACATATTTACACGTGTATGTGGGTGAGGGATGGGGATGGATTTAAATGGATTTTACTTTACAAAGCGTGCTTAGAATTGCAACCTTAAAATCTCACTCTTTTAGGGCCGAATTAATGAATCCTGCTGACTCACGCTTAAAACGTTCTGGCATCTTTAAGAATTGGCGAATCCTCCTGACTCCACTCTAGGATGGCGTTCAGTAGGTATTGCCGTTATGGGATGTTCAGTCCAGTCCTAGACATAAGACATAAGTAGGCGTTAGTGGAGTCTGCGGGACTTCTAAGTCTTGTATTCGAAGAATCCGGTTTTTAAAATCGAGCAACGTGGAAAGGAGTGAGCCTTTGACAAAATGTTTTTTTTTCTGAAGAGGATTACAGGTACAGCATAGTTAAACAGAGACAATTTACAGTATAACAAAGGTGTGACTGGTACTTCCATTCTAAATGTAATCAATAATGCCCATTAATGTCAAGTAATAATAATTATACCTATGGAATCTGTCGTTTATATAGCAGTTTTTCCTATATTTATACTTCATAATCAAATCACGTTACATTTTGTTGATTTCCATGGGAAATATGTACATACTATCTTATGGTCAGTGATTCTTGATTGAGTTCTGTTGTCTTCACTAGGGTTTACTCCTGAATTGTTACCAAGTTAAGCAATCTTACTCACAGTTATGAAGAAGTCTCAACTAGAACTTACTTTAGAGTAATCATCCAGAAGATTGCACTGTTAAACACTAGTTGATAGAACTCCGTTCTCGCATTCTGGGACAAGGAAGGAAGGAAGGAAGGAAGGAGGTAGGTAGGTAGGTAGGTAGGTAGGTAGGTAGGTAGGTAGGTAGGTAGGTAGGTAGGTAGGTAGGTAGGTAGGTAGGTAGGTAGGTCTCATCCTACTCTTTGTTTTCTGGTAAGGCATCACCACTGGAAACAACGTTCTAGAGAAGGTTTTCATTTTACATATTTCATAATGCAGATGATAGCAGCTGGTTTTGGACCATAAAATCGATGCTCCGACCACATAACGTGCAAATTGGCACTATTGACTGTAATAACACTTCCTTCTGAACAAGCCTGTATAGGCTTTCTTTCTAAAGTGAAACCTGATCAGCAATCCTTAGTGAGCCTAGAGAAAACAAGGCTATGTTATTTTCTCTGTTGCCAGTGAGTGCTCCTGAGGCTAAAAAGTGCAGTCTCATCTTCTACATCTTTTCACTAAGGTTAACCCCAGCTGAAACTTAACTCCTAAGTAAGTGTCTAGAGGAGAGTAGCCGTATGTATAGTCGCCTAAAGCTTCCGCAAATGAGTTAAAGACTAGGGTTTGAACCAGGAATTTCCCAACAGTCTATTTTAACTGCTGAGGTCCTCAAAAGGCTAAATCTACCACGTAAGCGCGATTCAGGTGATGACTAATAGAAGTGCCTAAGTAATAGCCCTTGAAGTGGGCCGTGCTTTCAGCGTGCAAAGTGCTTTTGCAAGTGCAGCTTGGAAGTACCAATTCAGGCTGTAATCGTTCCGCTGCAGAATGTAACGGCCCGCCTCATTCAGTCCGATCTACAACAATCCCCTTAAACCTAGCCCTTCCTCTTAATCCGATTAGTACCGTAATCCGAAGCGCGTATTTTCTCAGAAGAAAGTTCCACTGATTTTAATGTCACCTGCTTCCAAGTAATCAGGTTTAGGACTGCGGGGTAAACTGGAATGGGTCCCGTAATGGATTCAAGTCTAGATTTGAGAGAAGTCATGAAATTCTAGTCCTCAGTGCTTTGTTTTGAGATTAAGGTCAATAGCCTGGGTTTTCAAACCGTGCGATCAGGGTGGGAAAGATACATGTTCTCCCTCGGCCTCAAGCTTAAACATTTTTGCCGCTCGCCACTGATCAGATATGCTTAGCTTGAATTCGGGTTTGTAGATAGAAATGCCTGGTTTAAAAAGTTCCCTGCAGCCAGAGGAATTTCCTGATAAAAGACGGATTTCAGCATGGGAATACTATCCCATTCTGAAAGTCTTGGGACAATCGAAAGGTAAAAAGACTGACCTATCATACCCGCTCGCCCACCCTCCCCCGTTATCTGAATTAGCGTGTGCCGCGGATGGGGTTAATTACCTTGGATCAGACTGGTATCCAGGGTGCCGATTCTTATTGCCAGTTACTGCACTTGTAAATGGTTACCGTCCTACTTTGTCCACAGGTGAGTTTTGCAGGAATATCACCAGACGATACCTCTTTAACAGCCCAGAGCCATTTTGTTCCATTTTTAAAATCTATATCTGTGATCCGTGAGCTAATGGCAGCATGTCCTGCTTACGGGCTTCCTATGTGCATCTAGTTGGTCAATGTAAGAAACAGGATTCTACCTTGTAAATGGTTACCGTCCTACTTTGTCCACAGGTGAGTTTTGCAGGAATATCACCAGACGATACCTCTTTAACAGCCCAGAGCCATTTTGTTCCATTTTTAAAATCTATATCTGTGATCCGTGAGCTAATGGCAGCATGTCCTGCTTACGGGCTTCCTATGTGCATCTAGTTGGTCAATGTAAGAAACAGGATTCTACAACATATACTGTATATATATATATATATATATATATATATATATATATATATATAGAGAGAGAGAGAGAGAGAGAGAGAGAGAGAGAGAGAGAGAGAGAGAGAGAGGTTTGTCCATGTGCACACGCGTTCCTGAAGGGCCGCGCCCCTACCCTCTCTTCTTTGGCGATACTTTTTCACTGGTTGATGAATCTGTGGCCTTTAGTCGACTGAACGTTTAAGCCACAGTACCTTCTTAGCAGGCTGTTTATGTATGTTATCCTAAACACAGTCATTAATTTCAGTAGGTTTCAGGAGCGGAGAAGAAAATGCCTCTGGTGAAGACTG